AAAATCTGCCGTTGTCTTCCTGCAGAAGTTATCAGATACAGGACCAGGACCAGTCAATGGATTTCTGTGGGCACACATGGGTTTTCTCCGGGCACTCCGGTTTCCTCCCACTTCCCCCCCCAAAAAAAACTTAATTTGCCCAGCAGACAGCTCACCCAACTGGAGACAAAATGTCCTGAGATCCTGGAGCTGCTGGGGAACATGGGTCACGACAACAAGAAGACCAGGTCTTCCAGCTGTCAACCATGACCAAAACTCTTACTAAACATGTCATCATCATCATCATTGTTTTCCGTCCCCATGTCCATTAAAAAAAAAAAAAGGCACTGTAGCTTAGAGGGTCAAAGCGTCAGTTTTGTAAACTGAAGATTCTGGGTTCAAATCCCAGCGGTACCTGATTGACAATAACATTTGTTTCCCTGTTGAACCCACAAACCCATCATGTCTGTAAACGCCTAAACCTTGTAAAACCAGAGAAGTTAAACTGACAAAAGTCAGAGTTTGTCTTTACGTGTATTCCTGTTGATGATGCAGTAGAGGTCGTCTGTTTACGGTTCAAATCAGACACCACTCAAAGCAACAGGGCTGCACTTCCCACAGAGCAACTGTGTCAACTCTTGAAACTGTGCCTGTAGAAGTGGTGTAACGGTACACGTGGGTGTACTGAACCGTTTCGGTATGGCATGTTCAGTTCGGTCCACATGGGTACCATTTCGGTTATTTTTTCACTTCAATTCAGTTCATTTATATAGCGCCAAATCACAACAAAGTTGTATTGGGGCACCTTACAGAAACATTCACATACATAAAAAAGCCAATTAGTAAAGTTCTCTATCTAAGAAATCCAGCAGACAAGTTGAATCTTGGCTTCGTTGCAGTCTCTCATCCTGAGCAAGAACAGTGGCAACAGAGGAAAGGAAAAATTCCCTTTTAAAAGGAAGAAACCTCCAGCAGAACCAGGCTCAGGACAAGCGGCCATCTGCTTTGACCGGCTGGTTTAAGAGGACAGAAAGAAGAGACAAACAAACATAGAATGGTAGGTCCAGATATAGGTCCAGGTGTATCTGAAAGACAAAAAAACCCACATGTTAAGGATAGAAAAATAATTACAAATACAAAACAGGTTGAGCAGAGTAAGTAAAGACAGCAGCAGAGTGAAAAAGTGTGGTCAGTTTGTCCTCCAGCAGTCTAAGCCTATAGCAGCATAACTAAGGGACAGATCAGGAAACCCAAGCCGACCCTAACTATAGGATTTAGCAAAAAGGAAAGTCTAAAGTCTCGTTTTAAAACTGGACAATGTGTCAGCCTCACGGACAGAAATTGGAAGTTGGTTTCACAAGAAAGGAGCCTGAGAACTGAAAGCTCTGCCTCCCATTCTGTTTTTGTAAATTCTAGGAACCACAAGTAAACCTGCACCCTGAGAGCGAAGTGCTCTGTTAGGAAAATATGGAACAATAAGATCTGTAATAGAAGATGGAGCTAGGTTGTTGAGAGCTTTGTAGGTTAGAAGTAGGATTTTGAATTCAATTCTGGACTTGACAAGGAGCCAATGTAGAGAAGCTAAAACTGGAGAGATTTGATCTCTCCCACTAACTCCTGTTAATCAGAATAAAAATAACTTTATTGGAATTGCACTGAAGTACAACGCGAATATGTACGTACAGTCGTCCGAAAGATGGGCGGAGTGCACGAAGCTGCAACTGTAGAAAGCGCGGCCATTTTTATCCTTATCAGATAATAATCTTAGATAGGAAAAGGGGTAGAAACATTAGGGTAGATAGTGGTATTACAAAAAAGATCTTTCACATCTTGTCTATCAGGACACGATTTGAGACATCAAAAAACTCTACCAGCAAGCACAATTAAAACATGATTACATTTGCATTTGACATCAAAGTGTTGAGATTTCTCCATGAGCGTTTATTCAGATCAGCCACAGCTTCTGAATATGTTGTTTCAGCGGACAGTTCTGATAAGCTTGCACAGAAAGTTC